TTCTGCTCTGCAAAAGACAGTGTCAAGAGAATAAGAAGACAAGTAGAGAAGATGAACAGAGGGCAAGTGGGCATACGAAAATATGTTCAACATCATATGTCATCAGTGAAATACAAATTAAAACAACCATGAGATATCACCATACATGTATTAGAATAGCCAAAATCCAAATCACTGACAACACCAAATAGTTGGGGAACAGCAGGGACTCTCACACACTGCCAGTGGAATGCAAAGTGGTGGAGCCACTTTGGAAGTCAGTTTGGTGCTTTCTTAGAAAACTAAACATACTCTTCTCGTACAATCTAGCAATCGTGAGCTTTGGTATTTACCCAAATGAATTGAAAATTTACATCCACACAAAAAAATTGCACATGGAAGTTTATGGTAGCTTTCCTCATAATTTCCAATTTGGAATATATATATCCAATTTCAAATTTGGATATAACTGAAGATGTCCTTCAGTAGATGAATGGATGAAGAAACTATGGTACATCCATATAATGGAATATTATTCAGCACTAAAAAGAAATCAACTCTCAAGCTGTGAAAATACATGGATGAAACTTAAATGTTTATTGTTAAGTTAAAGAAGCCATTCTGAAAATGGTGCATACTGTCTGAGTCCAAGAATATTGACATTTCAGAAATGGCAAAACAACAGAGACTGTAAAAAGATCAGTGGTTGCCAGGGGATAGGGAGAGGATAGTGTGGGATGGGCAAAACAAGGACTTTTAGGCCAGTGAAACAATTCTGTAGGACACTACATTGGTGAATACATGCCACTATACATTTGTACAAGCCCATAAAATGTACAACACCAAGAATGAACCCCAATTTAAGCTATGGACTTTTAGTGCTAATGATATGCGAATGTAGGCTAATCAGTTGTAACAGATGGTGAGCGATGTTGATAATAGAGGAGGTTGTACATATTTGGGGACAGGGGTTTTATGGAAACTCTCTGTACTGTCCACTAAGTTTTGCTATGAACCCTAAAAATTAAAGTTTGTTATTTATATATATGAATATACATATATTCATTCCCAGGACATATCCCAGACCTGTTGAATCATAATCTCCAGTGAATAGTCCAGGAACTAAAAAAAAAATTTTTTAATGTTTTATTTATTTCTGAGAGAGAGAGAAACAGCATGAGCAGGGGAGGGTCAGAGAGAGAGGGAGATACAGAATCTGAAACAGGCTCCAGGCTCTGAGCGAGCTGTCAGCACAGAGCCCAATGCAGGGCTTGAACCCACAAACCATGAGATCGTGACCTGAGCCAAAGTCGGACGCTTTACTGACTGAGCCACCCAGGCGCCCCCAGGATTTTTTTTTAAATTCCAAGAGATTCTGATGATCAGGCAGGTTTAAGAACATGTAGAAAAGGAAGGAGATTGGGATTTGCAACTGGACAGACCTGAGTTTGAGTCCAGAGTTGCCACTTCCTTGCCATGCAACCTTGGACAAGTTATCAACCTCTCTATAATGGGGAATCATCAAGATTGCCCACAGTGTTTACAGGAGGATTGAACAAGCTGACATCTTGGGACCCTGGGTGTGACAGACACAGGGGCAGCTGTAAAGGCACATGGGACTCGTCACCAGGAAGAACTGGATCCTGAACCAAGTCCAGGGAGTGAAACAAACACTTTCTTGTTCTCCCCCTCATGCCCCAAATCCCCCTTCAGCCCTTGGCGATTCTTCTTCCCACAAGTAGATGAATATCTCCCCTTGATCTCTGTTCTCCCCACGTCCTGATCTGATCAGCTGTTAATTCTTGTGCCAGCAGGTCCCATTTGCCCAGCATCTTTACTTTCTGCAGAGAAGAGAGCCAGACAAACCTCTGTCTTACTAGCACTCATCACGTCTCATTGCATTCTTGTGCAGTTATTATGTTAAAAAAATCTACTTTCTCACCTAAGGTGTGAATGGAACAGAGAGCCACTTCCTACCACAAATGCAAATTGCCTGGCACATGTCTAACCTAAAGATGGGCTCTCCCCATTTCCACATCCTTTGCCCTTGTCTTTGTCCTTGCCAGCTGAGCTTTGGGTTGCTCCAGCAGAAAGGAATGCAGGCTCTTTTCCCTAGAACAGCTCGGGCCAGGCCCAGAGACCAGGAAATTGTTCTCCAGGGGAGTAACAGGAGGTACAAGTCATGCTCCCCATGAGCGCTGTCTGCTCAGCATCCATTTCTGTCTCCCCCTTCTCTCTTCTCACTCTGATCACCTTCAAAGCCAAGCTGGCTTCCAGGTCTACCCCTCAACAATGCAACAAATCAGACTAAAATGAAAAATAATTTCAAAATAAATTATCACTTGCCTGGAGTGTTGGACTAAGGTGGGAGTAGTGCTCACACTATTTGTCTCAGCGTGGCATCTTCCTCTTGAGCCATGTCTTCTCTGTGTCCTTGGCCACCTCGTCCCCATCCACCAGCTCATCAGTATTAGAGCTTCTCAAGTCTTCAGTCCTTGGCTCTGCTCTTCTCACTCTTGACCTCCTCTGTGACCATGGCTTCAGTTATTCTTCACCCAGGGATGATTCTCAAACATGCATCTCCAGCACAGATGTCTCCTCTGAGCTCCATGCTTGTATATTTCATTTTCTACTCAACATCTACACTGCTATGCCTTAAAGGCATCTCAAACCCAAACTGCTCCAAACTGAATTTGTATTCTCTTGTTACATTCCATTCATACCTGGTCTTCCCCTAGGGTTCCCAGCTCAGTGAATGGTAACGCTATCCACCCCTTTGGATGCTGTGTGGACCCTCCACTCTCCCTCACCAACTAGAACAAATCTTATTTGGTCAGTTTTAAATATTCGCGGAGCCTATCTGTTTCCCTCCATGAACCCCCGACCCAGCTCCGTTGTCCTCTTATATGCTCTCCCCACATCTTTGATTTCTCTTCTTTAGTTTTCACACTGCAGCTAGAGCGATCATTCTTTTCAAAAAGCAAATGTAATCACACCACTACTATGCTTCATACGTGTCAATGACTGCCCACTACTCTTAAGAAGACCAACATCTTTGGAATGCCCCATCAGGCCCTGTAAGACCTGGCTCCTGCTGACCCCTCCAGCTTCATTTGAGCCATTCTCCCCTCACTCTGAACTGCAGTCAACCAACTTCTTGCAATTTCCCCAACAGATCATGCTCTCTCTTACCTCAGGGTTATTGATTACGTTGTTCCCCACACCTGGAACACCTTAGTCCCCTAAAATTTCCTAAGTGTCCAACTTTGGCTGAAGATTTCTTCTTCAGAAAACTTTATTGGACTTCCTCCTTACTCCTCTCCCCCTTGAATTAATTTTCTAGGGCCGCTGTAACAAAGTACAACAAACCGTGGGGCTTTAAACAATAGAAATGTATTATCTCACAATTCTGGATGCTAGAAGTCTAAGATCAACAGGGTTGGTTCCTTCTGAGAGCTGAGAGGAAGAATCTGCCCCATGCCTCTCTCTTACCTTCTGGTGGTTTCCTGGCAATCTTTGTTACCCCTTGGCTTGTGGGAGCATCATACAGATCTCTGCCTTCCTCTTCACAGGGTGTTCTCCCTGTGTGCACATGGGTGTGCATCCAAATTTCCCTTTTGTAATGAGGACACCAGACATATTGGATTACAGGTCATCCTGCTCCTTTGACCTCCTCTTAACAAATTATATCTACAAGGACCCTATTTCCAAATAAGGGCACATTCTGACATACTGGGGGTTAAGACCTCAACATACAAACTGGGGTAAAGGGCACAATTCAAGTCATAACACCCTCCATTTCCAAGATGGAGTCCCCTGGTTATATATTGTCATATTCCTGCCCTGTAGCCTTTTTCTACAAAGTATGGATTTTAGTTTGTAATTACCTTCTCTTTTTTTAATGTTTATTTATTTTTGAGCGAGAGAGAGAGAGCACGAGCGGGAGAGGGGCAGAGAGAGAGGGAGACACAGAATCCAAAGCAGGCTCCAGGCTCTGAGCTAGCTGTCAGCACAGAGCCCAATGTGGGGCTTGAACCCATGAACTGCGAGATCATGACCCGAGCCAAAGTCGGACACTTAACCAACTGAGCCACCCAGACACCCCGCATAATTATCAATCAATAATCACACAAGCAGAATGTATTTGTTCCCCCCATAGATTGTGATCTCCACAGGGGCCATGTTGCTTTCGTTGACCATTGCACCCCTATGCCTGGCACACACTAGTTGTTCCGTGTGTACTTACTGAGTAAACAAAGGAATTCTAAGGGCCTTCCAGGTCCCTACCTGCATGTCAATGTGGAGAGACCCACCTTTGTCCCCCAGGCCTGCTCAGTCATTTCCCAACGCTCCAACTTCCAGAGCAGTAAGTCATCGAAGCAAGTAGGGCTCAAGGCAGGCCCACTTGTTCCTCAGTTGCTTCCTAGTGTTAGTGATCCCTTGAAACTCCAGCGTGATCTCCCCCATAAAGACAATCCCCTGCTGGGTGAAAAAAAAAAAAAAACTTGTCCAAGATTTGTAAGCCCACTGCACTTTCATTTAAATGTGCCTCAGGAGTGCCAGTGATTATTATTGAGGAGGCTGAGGGAGCTTCTCTGGAGATCTTAAAAATAGGTCACTTCCCTAAGGACTGAACGAGTTCAGCCGGGCAGTTAAGGAATGAATAAAAGAAATTCCTGGTGCCTCTTTCATCGTTAATACTCTAAGACCCTTGTTGTTTGATAGCTTCAGACTTGGTCCCTAGATGCAGACAGAAAAGGATTCTTAGTCTTTTAACTCTCTGACAAATATTCAGATCAATAAGTCACTGGCAGCGGTGAAAGGGAACAATGAAGAACCCAGATGAGTTAAAAAACTCTTGCACAGATACAACCATAATCCTCTTGAAATCGCCTTCCCTGTGTGTTCTCAGGAATAAGGGCTACTTTTGCAAAGTGGTAAGATAGTTTAATGTCTGGCTTTTATGTTTTACCACCTCATGGTATGAGGAATGCTGAATGCTCTAAACGTTGGACTTCTAGAAACTTGAACCCATTGACCTGCCACAAGAAATTACTTCTGAAAGGCTCCTGAGCCAGCAAGAAGTCAAAACGACGCACAGAGCAAAGGTGAACCGCAACGCTAACTGGAGGGGGTGGGTAATGGGGGGCGGGGTGGCCTGTCCTTTCATGTACTCCCTACAAGAAGACCTCAAAGACAAATCAAACTATTAGGTCATTCAGAGTCAGGACTTGCCAAAGCTATCCATTCTTTCCCAGGCCTGCCTCCAACTGGCAAAGACTCATGTGTCTGAGGTAAACTCTGGGCCCTTCTCCACTTCCTGGTGAAAACAGGAAGATGTAGATAAGAGAGAGGAATTTTACTTGGACGCTGGTAGTTCTAGAAGTGTCCAAATTTATGAACAATCTAGGAGGACTCTTTCCTTTTATTTTTCCCCTCAGGTTCAAACTTTCTCTTCATTCTCAGTCTTTAGGGGAAATCATATCTACAAGGTGTCCCGCACTTATTTGCCACAACCTCAGCAAAACAGGAATCCTTGGAAAAGGTCTTCTGGAGAGCCTTTCCCTTTTATAAGTTTGTTACTTTCTGCTGAGAAGATTTGCCTGTATAGACGTGAAAACTGTGAGGTAGTAGATTTTCAGCCCTTTCCACTCCTGATTCATTGTGAGGCTGGCAAGGCGCTGCTACACAAAACGAGATGTGGGAAGATAATTCCATTTCAGGTTTGCAAAACTCTACAGGAACCTTAAAAACTATATTAGACACACATCAAAGCTTTAGTCATTGAGGGCTACCCAGAAAGGACTCAGTGGAGAGCTACAACGATCCACCTTTGACATCACAAGAGATCTCTATGGACTATAACTGATGACTGATTGACATCTCTCTCTGTTCCAAAAAGAATTGCAAGTTGTGGATTGCAGAGTCAATAACAAATTACCCAGTTGTAACGAGTGTGGCATCTTTCACAGCAGGACCTGGGAAAGACAATGCAAATTCCAGGGTACATGCCGGGGAAAAGACAATATTTACATAAGATGAGAATGTTGGAAATGAACCGTAGCAGACAAGAGGTAAGTATGGGGAGAGAGAAGAAGAGTGTCATATTTAGCACATTTACTCCACAGAATCCCTGCCCTCGCACAATGGATGTAGTTTAGCATTCATCCCCAGTCTTTACTTAGCATTTTAAATTTGGTCATTGGCACCGAGCTGGGAAGAATCCACAAGATCCCTTCTGCTACCGACCCTGTGGAGCCTTCTCTTTGTTTTCAGTCACAAGGACAGATCTGTGTCCCAAGTCTCTCTGTTTTTCCTTTCTTTCCGATTTTTTTTTTTTTTCACAAATTGCTCCTGTGACATTCTGGCTTCAGCAGGAAAATGAGGTCAGATCATTTTTCTTGATGATGTTCTTAGTAAAGAAACTCTGTTCTTAGTAAAACAGAGGGGGGTGAGTTGGTCTTTATTTTGATACCTAGGCGCCCCTCCATAATTCACCCCATAGAATTATCTCACAACAATGATCCCCTGTAACACACCCTTTTACAGTAGCGTCTCCCATAATTGTCATAGTCCATATTTCTCACTCTAGTGTTTAAGCCTAAAGTCACTGTCTTCTGCGATTCAAAATATATCACCTGCCTGACAACGAACGTTTTTACAAAGCTCCTCCTCTTAAATCAAGCCCTAGCTTTTTGAGGCTGTGGGCATATACTCTCCTCTTTCCTAACAAGCCCATCCTGTGCATAGAGAAAGTTTCTGTACCGTCTAACAGGAAAAAGAAACTGTGTTCTGCTTAGGGGACCGCAGATGAGTACAGTTAAGCACTCAACTTGCAAAGTGGCTGATCTGTTGACCTATTCTGGTAACAGTAGCTCAGGGGGAGAACACTAATCGATTATAGTGGATCATTTTCAGGCCCAAGCAGAGTTGAAGAAAAGTCTTCACAGGGAGGCAAGAATTAATAAGCAAAAACCGAGGGACCATAAAGCCAAGAAAACCCTTCAAAGAAGCATCCCAAAAAATGACGACAGGGACCTTCCAACCTTTCTGCCAGATGAAACCTTGAACAGAAGTCCAGGTGAGTCATGAATTATCCATTTTTAGCAAAATAAAATATCGCCAGTGTTTTCAAAACTTCATCAAATAAACTTCAGGGGTGGGAATATAGCAAGGAGTAGCCTGGGGTTTCTGCCGATATGTACTTCCTGGAGTATAGTGATCACACTGTCATGCAATTTGGGGTGCCCAGGAGGAAAAGACAGAAGCTTCAGCACTGGAATAGGTAAGACGTGTCTTGTTAGAGGCTTACTGTGCTTTCCAGGCATTCTTGCAATCCTTGCTCCATCCTCGGGAGGGAAAAGGCAAAAGAGCCTCATCTTGTGGTTAAAGAGAATGAACCATATGGACTTACGTTAAGTAGCAAACCGGTATCAGCCAGTTTGCTGCCATGTGCAGACACCCTCCCCTACCCCACATTTCCCCCTGGAGCCCTCCCAGACTCATTCAGAATGTCTATAAAACTGAAGCCAGCGTCCCTGCCCATCCCAGGCTTGCTCCCGTGACACCTGCTGTCTCAGGGGGTGAGGCCTCCATCCTCTGGGCCACTCGGGCCAGAGACTTGGGGCCTTTCCAGCCCTTCGGCTCCTGCTCCCAGAAGCTGGTCAGTCACAAAGTCCTGTCGATGTCACCTGGCACTGAAGTCTTACCTCTCTCACGTGCCCAACGCCACCCTTAAGTCATTGTGTCACACCAGCCTCCTGTGTTCCTCCTCCAAGTCTTCCCCTTCTTCCATTGACCCCACTACCCTGATGCTCGTGGGTATGATCCCCAAGCCACCAGCACCAGCATTACCTGGGGAGTCATTGGGCCCCAGCCAGAGTGACTGAATCAGAAAATGTAGGGGCAGAGGCGAGTAATCTGGGTTCAACACTGCCCTAGGTGATCCTGATACCCCTAAAGTTTAAGACCCGCTGCTTTACTTGGTAATCAAAGTATTGGCCACAGCACAGCAACATCTGCATCACCTGGGAGTTTTTTAGAACCGCAGAATTTCAGGGGCACCTGGGCGGCTCAGTCAGTTACGCGGCCGACTTCAGCTCAGGCCATGATCTTGCAGTTGTGAGTTCGAGCCCCGTGTCGGACTCTGTGCTGACAGCTGGAGCCTGGAGCCTGCTTCAGATTCTGTGTCTTCCTCTCTCTCTGCACTTCTCTCTCTCCTTCTCTCAAAAATAAATAAATATTTTAAAATTTAAAAAAAAAAAGAAATGAAGAATTTCAGGCCCCACTCTGGACCTACTGAATCAGGATGTGCATTTTATCAAGATTTTAAGGTGATTCTCACGCACAATGAAATTCTAGAAGCACCCCACTAATAGCAAAGTAATCTTATAAACTGCACATCTGACCATATCTTGCTTTAAAAAAAAAAATCCTCAGTGAAAATCCATCAGCCCGAGGACAAAGGCTTAACCCTGTACCCTGGCCCTCCAAGTCTCTGAGATCTACTTGCCGCTTACCTTGCTGGCTCTCTCTGCAGCCACTAGTGCCCAACTTGGCCTCCAGCCAGGCTAGACTGCTCAGTGATTTCCAACAGATAACTGTGTTCATAGTCTGTGCTGTGTTGTTCCACTGATTAGAGCCCCATTAAGTTTGCCTGTCCATACTCCCCCAGGGCAAACCCACCCTTTGAATATATAATATTGTCCACACACAGAACTTGCTGTGCCATGAGCTAAATTTCCACATCAGCAAGACTGGCCACTGAGAGAGACCTACACAATCCCTGTAGGTCATGACCGTGTCTCTGGAGGTCCATGAGCTTCTCGGATGCAAAGTCGCCAGCTGAAAGAGACACGGCTCCTGCTCAGAAGAATCGGATGCTTAATCAATAAGCTAATTAAATAAGAAAAGGCTGAATAATTGAAAATCTACTTGGGGAATCTAGTTAACCTATACTCCCAGTGCCAGAATGAAATATGCTAGGTAGGCACATAGATAAACAACTTTGACAATTTGAAAAATATTGACCAAACAGTCCAAAAAAGCATCTCAGCTAAAGTTAGACACTTAGAGTCATGGCCTGAGGGTAAGCCAAGAAAAGCCAACATTGGTAAAAATCTTTGGAAGCTGTCCCAGGTCTGGAAGGGCCCAGGAAGGACTGTGACATGTGGAGAAGAGGGGTTCTCTGCATTCCTACTGCTTTTCAAAAAAAAAAAAATTTTTTTTTAATGTTTATTCATTTTTGAGAGAAAGAGTACAAGTGGCGGAGGAGCAGAGAGGGAGACACAGAATCCAAAGCAGGCTCCTGGCTCTGAGCTGTCAGCACAGAGTCCGATGTGGGACTCGAACCTACGAACCATGAGATCGTGACCTGAGCTGAAATCGACCGCTTAACTGACTGAGCCATGCAGGCGCCCATCATTCTGTTCTAATTAAGGTTTGTTGAGTGCTTACCGTGAACCAGACACTGTCCTCGACCTGCGACATGCATTAGTGCTCTTGATCCTCACACAGCCTGTATAGAAGGAGTTAGTATTAGCCCTCATTTGACACAGCCAGGATTCCCAGCTAGGTCTTTCTTGTTCCAGAAAGTTCCCTCCACCCACCTCCAGCCCCTCATATACCTTCATCGGGACTCCAGGGCCTTGGACCTCTGTCAAGGACAACCTTGGCAAGTCTGCAAATATAAGAATGTGTCTTTTCAACCTTATCTTTAAGAGCAGGCCACCCCTCTGCAAAGCCTACAGATTTCACCACCATACTAGGCACATGCTCGAGCTGTGATTCCTTCTTCCTTATTCCCAGGGAGCATCTTTGCTTTATTTGTCTTCTGAAAGCAATTCATTTTTGTTTGTCCTAAAAGTGAAGCAAAGTCAAGATCACAGCTTTACAGGAGCTTTCTGAATGCTAGTTCATGCCTGGTCATTAAGATTCTGCTGTAGGCTTCTTCTCTTATTGAATGCTATAGTTGCCCATTCACGTTCCTTCTTTGGGAAGGTGGGAGGAGAGTTTTAGGTCCCTTATAAGATAAAGGTCTATCTTCGTTTTCTGCTGCCTCTTTAAAATAAAATTTTAAAGTGCTTCAGTGGCTCTTTTGGTTAAGCATCCAGCTCTCGGTTTTGGCTCCGGTCATGATCTCACAGTTTGTGATGCAGGGTGGGTTTGAGCCCTACGTCAGGCTCTGCACTGACAGTACCCAAGCCTGCTTGAGATTCTTTCTCCTCCCTTTCTGCCCCTCCCCTGCACTTTCTCTCTCTCTCTCAAAATAAACATTAAAAAAAATAAAATAAAATGAAATTTTACATACATTTTACATTTACATATTTTAAATACATTTTATATATTTATACAATGAATTACATATAACATATAATTATGTAATAATTACATACACCTTATTATATAAAAATTACTTATAACTTATATGATGGCCCACTTGTTCATAACTTACACAAAGTGAACCCTGTTTTCTGGGTGTACAATTTTATGACTTTTAACATGTTTATGTGGCTCCTCCCTTTTTTAGAAGCCATGATATAGTATAGTGGGTAGAAAAAGCAGCGAACGTGAGGAGTGCCTGGATGACCCAGTCAGTTAAACATCAGACTCTTGATTTAGACTCAGGTCATGATCTCACAGTTTGCTAACAACACAGAGCCTGCTTGGGATTCTCTGTCTCCCTCTCTCTCTGCCCCTTCCCTGCACTCTCTTTCAAAATAAATATTTTAAAAAAAAGAAAGAAAGAAAGAAAAAGCAGTGAACTTGAAATCAACTTGAAATCAAAGTTCTTCATCTGAGCCCCAAGAACTATGTTTCCAATTGTAAACTCCATGGGAACAGGAGCTTCTTTTTGTTTTGTAGAACAGTGCCTGGTACCCAGCAGACTCTCAATAAATATTAGCTATATATTTGTCTATATAGCTTTATTCTATATACAGAGAGAGAGATTATAGCTCGACTGCAATTATCTAACCTCTTTGCACCTCAGTTATCACATCTGTAAAATAAGAATAAAGCCTTGTCTACCACTTAGGGTTTATGTAAAAATTAATCCAATATATGTAAACGCACCTATAAAATGTAAAGTGCCAAACACATGCATGAGAATAAAGACAACTAAAGAAAGATGGAACTGATGTCTCAGAGTGAAAACAACCGCACACTTCGGGGGCAGTGTCACTTTAAATATATTGTCCCCTTCACAATTCTGGTCTTATCTGGCCCTGGCCCCTGCACTATTATCTACTTGGTATTTTTCTTTAAAGTATCTGAGGGGTTATTTTTAAAAATATTTTTATTTTTATTTATTTTTGAGAGAGACAGAGTGTGAGTGGGGGAGGGGCAGAGAAAGAGGGAAACATCTGAAACAGGCTCCGGGCTGTCAGCACAGAAGGTGATGGGGGGGGGGGGGGGGAATGAACTCACAAACCTTGAAGTCATGACCTGAGCCAATGTCAGATGCTTAACTAGCTGAGCCCAGTTTGTGTTTTTAAAATTTAGCCTTGTGAATGAAATAACTGTGTAATTATGGGTTTGATATAATGTTGATACATTTTGCTAAAACATATATATATTATAAAATACATAACCATCACACTTTTTTTAATGTTTATTTATTTTTGAGAGAGAGTATGTGTGCAAACAGGGGAGGGACAGAAAGAGACGGAGACAGGATCTGAAGCGGGCTCTGCACTGACAGCAGAGAGCCCGATGCAGGGCTCAAACTCACAAACCATGAGACTATGACCTGAGCCAAAGTTGGACACTTAACTGACTGATCCACCCAGGCGCCCCACCATCAAGTATTTGTAATACTTTATATAATCCTCGTACTACTGAAAATCATTCCCTTCCCCCCCACCCCCCTGGCCTCTATTGCTTTCCTCTTCCCTAATTAATTTTGAAGTTGGATACCCTTTCCTCTGCGCTGCTCACCCAAAACCTATTTAGGTTTTTAAACATTGTATTTTTCTTTTTCTTTTTTCTTAAGTCTAGCAACCCCGGAGAATCAAGCAGGGATTTATAAAAATGTAACAAGTAAAAAGACATCTGGCTCAGAAGTTCTTAAACTTTAATGCTATGTATACAGAACCATGTATATAATAATTTATGAATGATTTAAGAGATTTTCAAGGATAAAATTGAACATGCGAACTTGGCCTCACTCACTACTTTAGGCCTGCATTATCATAACATCAAGAGTGGTGTGGGACTTGAGCTATTATTAATATTGCATTAGATCCCACCATTAACAAACATTCTCTTCCCGTTCCAAATCCTCTGCCTCTAGTCAGCAGAAAATCTCTGTTGCCAGTCTGAATGGGGCCTCCAGCGGTTCTTGGCTCATCTGCAGAGCAGAGATGATTACACCCCCTGGCCCCAATGACTGAAGTCTTCCCCAGGCCCCAGTTACCAGTACTTCTCACCACTCAACATTCTCTGATTGGCTCACTTGTTCACTTGTCTACTCATAGACCCGGTTCCTGGCTTTGGTGCCTATGCAACAGTATAGACAACAAACAAACAATGACGATATAACTGGCAGCCCTCACAACCTGAAAGTCAGAAGGTTTCCAGGAGGAAGTGATATTTAAGCTGAGACAGGAAGTAGCTGGACAAAGGGGACAGGAATCCATATTCCCGTGAGGACCAGGGTGCTGGAACATTCAGAACTGTTCATGATTACAGCACGTGCAAAAGTTCTTGACTGGGGAGGCAGATTCAGGTAGTGACCAGTGATGACTCAGGCACAGGCAGGGCCCAGAGAACACAGGGTCTTGCAAGTCGTGTCAAATAAGGACTTTGAACTTGAGCTTAAGATTCCCGGGAAGCCACTGAAAGGTCAGGGGAGCCACACAATGAGGCTTACATTGTCAACCATCATTCTGTCTACCCTGTGGAGAATGAAGGGGAAGAGAATGTAAGAGGATGTGGGGAGACAAGGTCCAGGAGTGTAGGGTGACAGCAGAGAAGGAGCTGAATGTGAGGCATTCAGGAGATTCAAATGGCAGAACTTGGTGATGAATCGCATGTGGGTGCGTGGAGAAAGCACGGAGGCCAGGAGGATTCTTGGGTTTCTCTTGAAGAACTGGGCCGACAATAGGGGCAAAACTGGGGCCATTTGCTGGATTAGGGTAACTGCGAGAAGAAGTGAGTTTGGAAGAGAAAGAGCAGGTGAGTCTAACATGTTGCCAGGAGACATAAAAATGGAGGCACCCAGCGGTACAAAACAGTAATTGTAGCTCAGGAGAGAGATCGGGGCCACAGACATAAATTAATGATTGTTTCCTGTCACTACGATATGTATAGATGATAACGATAATTATAATAACATTCAAGGTGGGGAACAGGGCAGTCCCTTACTGAGCCAGAAAGGAAACTAATGGATCACAAAGCACAAATTCCACATTGAAATGATTAATTTTCTTATATAACAGTATGTAACATCAGTTATCAAGGGCTTAAATGAAATATGCCATAAGATTTGATAAACAATTATCTTTAAGATGAAGTCCAAAAGTTATGGCTGGTTCAACCAGATGGAGGGAACATTCTGGGCTTTGACCCAGGGTGGTTTTCCTAGCTCAGAGGGGGCCATTGGTTTTGTTTGCTTAAAAGCCATCCTTCCTTGAATAAAGCCCCTGTTGTTCTGAAATGCACTTTAACAGGGCATTGGGTACAGCTAAAATAAAAAGCTACATACATATGTACATAAAATCCCATATCAAATAAATTAAATCTATCCTAAGAAGTATAGAAAGTAAAATGAAATTCATTGAACTCCCTAGTTCTGTGTGTCTGGAGCGCAGCCTGACCATTTGTGTTTCTAAAAGACTCCACAGGTGACTCTAACATGAGGTGAGAGTGGATGTCAAAATCAGAAAGTGTATATCACGTGCCTGGCACATAATAGATTTTCAATAAATAGCACAAGGCAACATCACCTGTGCAATACTCTTGCCAAAATTGTGTAACCTTAATTTAATCACAAGGAAACATACAAACCCAAATTTAGGACCATTCTACAGAACAACTGGTCTGGATTCTTTAAAATGACAGTGTTAGGGGAAAAGAAGAAGACAATGAAGGAGGGATGGAGGAAGAGAAAGGAAGGGATCAAGACAGAGAATAAGGTAAGGAGGAGGGAAGGAGGGAAGAGACAGAGAAAAAGGAAAAAAAAAAACAGAAAGGGAAATGTCTTGAATTAAAGAGATAAAATAAAATATAATACATAATCCTAGATTGGATCCTGGATCTAAAAAATAAAACACAAACATGCAAACAAAAAGCAACTATTTAGACCATTTTGGGACAACCATGAATATTAGAATGTAGACCATATATTCGAAACCAGTAATATATCAATGTTAAATTTCCTAAGGGTAATAATTATAGTGTAGTTATGTAGGAAATGCATCCTTGCTGTGAGATTTGTGGTGATGTATTTGGGGGAATGTAATTGCAACTAATTCTCAAATAGCTCAGCTGAAAAGCATGTGTGCATATGTTTATGCACGTGTATAAAATGAAAGCAATATTGTGACAAAGAGTTGTCAGTGAGTTGGGGCATACACGAAGGTATTGACTATTCTTGTGACTTTCAGAAGATTAAAAAAATTTTTTTGAGAAAGCGCATGAGCCAGAGAGAGGGGCAGAAGGAGGGGTGGGGAGAAAGAGGGTGAGAGAGAAAAAGAGAATCCCATGCAAGCTCTATGCCCAGCGCGGAGCCTGATGTGGGGCTCAAGCTCATGACCACAAAATCCTGACCTGAGCTGAACCTGAGTTGGACACTCAACCAATTGAACCACCCAAGTACCCTATATATATATATATATAATATATATAATAATTAAACAAATAATTTAAACAAAAGTCATATATATATATATATATATATGAACACCAAGCAAATTATTCTGTCTTCATAAAAACCTAGGCACTTAATAAAGAAATAAATCATTGTTAGAGAGAAAAATTAAATAAAGTTTAAATTTTCTGTAGATTTGGGGGAACATCAAATATGGAATGACTGTTGTCCCCGGAAAATTGGCAAAATGGAAATGTGGCTCCGTGAACAAGAGGCTCGGGGACAGCTTCTCTGGGACAGTTCTAGCTCTGACTCAGATGAGTTGACGAAAAGCAAGAAGAAACCACAAGCACTGGTGAGGACAAGGACGGAGAGAATCACACTTTTTGATGAGTTTTTTGATCGAGAATAAAAATGCTACTCACTGACCTAGAAATTGTGTGCGTTGAAATCTTGCTTTCCTGTAAAAATTCTTCAGGTTAGTTATAGGAACTATTTTGAGGAAACCATTTCACCGTCTCTTCATTTGGAGTCCTAAAGTTAACAGGTTTGTCATACACGTATCGTTAACTATGCTGCATAACTGCCTCAAAACTTAGGGCATTTGTCCCTCTGTGCTGTGTCTTGCTGGGTTCAGCTGGGTGGTTGTTCTGCTGGCCTCTTGTGGGATCTTTTATGTAGTTGAAGTCAGAAGGCTTCAGCTGGACTGAAGTCATCTGGAGGTTCAGCCAGGACGCGGAGGCGGTTGGACCCCACCCCTTCCCCATGTAGTCGCAGAGCCTCTTTACGTGGTTGCTCCAAGTGGTTTCTCCATCAGGGTAGTGGATCTACTTTTATATCAGCCCAGGACTCCCCACAGCAAACGTTCCAAGAGGAGGAAGCGGAGCTGCCAGTCCTCTTAAAGCCTCAAAGGGGAAGGGGCTCCCCATCACTCTCACCACATCCTGTTGGCTAAGGCAAGTCACAAGCCAGCTCACCATCCATGAAAGCGAGGTCTACACAAGGGCATGGACTCCGAAGCATGGTCTCTTGGAGTTCATCTTTGAGACTTGCCACCACACCATACTTTAAAAAAGCAAATTAGATCTTATAAAACAAATGGATGGGAAAGTAAAATTGATACACATAAAAATGCATTTTTAAACAAAAGTCACCATAATGCTACATTAGACAATAAGCGCACTGAAGTCATTCTTGCCAGTTAGCAACAGGCCAGAAGTCATTCTTGCCAGTTAGCAACAGGCCAGAGGTGGAACAATGTCAAGTGTGGAAGGTCATTGCAAAGGAAAGCTCAAAAGTAAATGAAGATCTCTTAGATTACGATGTACATCTTAGGACTCTAAAAGGAATCTTAGAAATGTTCAGTTCAAAAGTTCCCATTAACAAAAATTCAATCTTTAGGCAATTTTAATAGCTTCTTTTGTGTAAATTAGGCTCTACTTTTAGCATCATCTAAAAATACTTTTAAGCCATCCGGAAGTTTCTAAGAATGTAGCGAAACTTTAAAACAAAGCAAAACAAAAACATCCTTTTAAGCCCTTCACTGGGAAACTTCTCAACAGGAAACAATAGGGAAACGCCACCCAAATTTGACACCCACTACGTTCAGAGCGGTCACTAAGAAGCTACGAGGCCTGCGTGTCAGGGGACAAACGTTCATGTTCTTGCAAGGACAGAAGGCAATTGGGTCACCCCTGGGCATTTCTGCTCCCACTTCCTACTGTTCTGTGAGAAGCACATTTCCTGCAAAAGAATACATAAACTGTTTGACCAGCCAACCTTCTTGAAAAAGTAAGATCTCTGAGAGGAGAGACAAGTCCAACTTCTTCATAATGTCCTCACCCACCATTATGGTGCATCTGGGAAGCTTAAAACAGATGCTGACGGTAAGGGGGATTAGGGCTGTGACTTGGAGACTGGGCGACACCCCTTCCGGAAGCTCCCTGGACTGCGAGCTCCATCAGGACACGGACCATGTTTCCTCCCCGTGGCATCCCCACTTCCTAGCAGGACACCTGGCACAGGGTTTATTATTAAATGTTTGTTGAATTCATTAATTTCTGTGTTGAGTTAACTAGGCAGTTAGGGAGGCGCTGGTTTCTCTCCAGCTATGTAGTTGTTCATTCTCATTTCCATCATTTCCCAAACTCCTAGAAACACCAGGTTGATTATGCAGTAAAAAAGGGGAATTTTTTTTCAAAAGCTTTTGGAATTTATACATTTAAATGGAGAGCATACCTGAAGCATTGCCCTCGGTTATTGGAGCTAGACACATACGCCACTGAGGATGTCATAGTTCAAAATATGTTTTGAGACTCTATCAGAGGAATGCTTTCTCTGTTTGAGTTTATTTGCCCGCTCCATGTGGAACTCCCCCTCACTTAATTATAAATTCAAGAATTTGAAATTATAATAATAATGGTGATAGCAATAGCTACTAATGTGACTAAGGTGCATTGACTGCTTATCGTGTGTCCGGTACTCTTCAAATGCTTTATAGATTTAGTCCTCATGAAAACTTTGTGGATCAGAATTAATATCATCCCTATTTTACAGATGAGGAAATGGAGGCAAAGAGAGGTTTAGTAACTTGTCAGAATCACCCAGCAGAATTTCCTTTTGGGGGAGACTGTTGTTGACTGGAAGGGACCTGATGGGAGCCAAGAGCACCTTCCTCTGCTCCTTAATTTTACCTCAAACTCGACAGCGGCAACATGTGGCATTCTATATATTTTTTTCTATTATGTGGTAGGGGGGAGTAAGTGTTTTTTTTTTTAATTCTTTATTTTTGAGAGAGAGAGACAGTGAAACAGAGTGCGATCAGGGGAGGAACAGAGAGGGTGACACAGAATCCGAAGCAAGCTCCAGCCTCTGCAGCCAGCACAGAGCCAGATGCGGGGCTCAAACCCACAAACCATGAGATCATGACCTGAGTTGAAGTCAGATACTGAACTGACTGAGCCAATCCAACAGGGGCCCCTGTTGCTGTTTGTTTTTGAGAGGGATAATACTGCACTGGAAAGGGCGAGAGCTTTGTGGGACTATTTTTTAGCAAGGAAGAATTTCCTTGGAGCCTGATAGCTTCATGACGGGCACAGGGCAGGATAAGAACACTTGAGAAATAGCTCAGGAGGGAGTTTCCAGGAATAGGGAGAGGCGCACACAAAGGACATGAGAGAGCCAAGGCGAGCTTACCTTCTCCACCCTTTGGTCCGGAGCAGGATCGTGAGCAACCCCACCGGGCGTCCCATCCAGGATGGGATTCAGGTAACCAAAAAACTAACAACAAATAGGATTTATGGGCCCACCTTTCCTTTACCTGGGCTGGGACAGAACCCTGGCTTTGGGTTGGTGCTTCCTTCTTAAGCTCCAGGGTAAGGCTACGGTACCCAGCTAGAGTTGAAAGCTACAGCCTTAGCTTTACCAGATGTATCAACTTCTGTCTTTAAAGGCAACAACTCCTGAGTCAATTTTTCCAAGGTAAGGACATGCAGCCTGGAGCTCCACAAACAGTAAGAGAATGTTCGTTTTGTTGGTAATTGGTAATTGTCGGAGAACACCAGTCCTTTACTTAATCTTGAATTTGTTTCAGGGGCAACGCAGGGCCATCAGTAAATACAGCTGTTGCTGGTGAAAACCATAAAATTCAGGCTGGAGGCAAAGTTGTCAGTTTTCTTCAATTGAAAATCTGCTTTGGAAAGAAAAAGGACTTGCCTATGGCCGCATGCATGCTTTCTCTTGTGAAAATAATATTTTCCTTTTTGCTCTGAATTTTTATGGGAAAGAGAAATGTCCTTTTTTAACATACTTTTGAAAATGTGCCTTTTTAAAATTTTTAAACTTTTTTCAAGTAGGGGGCCATTTTTCTTGTCTATTTGGATGGTAATTCTGAGTTACTCTGCTGGGGCTTAACCAAAGAGGACTCTTGCAAGAGTCATCTGTGAAGCAGTCTTGTAAACAAATGGATACTGTTTTCTGCTTACTCAGAGACTTTTTTTTTTTTTAATGTTTCATTTATTTCTAGGAGAGAGAGAGAGACACAGCGTGAGCAGGGGAGGGCCAGAGAGAGAGGGAGATACAGAATCCAAAACAGGCTCCAGGCTCTGAGCTGGCAGTCAGCACAGAGCCCGACGCGGGGCTCGAACCCACAAACCGCGAGAACATGACCTAAGCGAAAGTCGGACGCTTAACCGACTAGGCCACTCAGGCGTCCCTCTGCTTACTCAGAGACTTTAAAAACAGAAAACAAAACACTGGTTCTCCAAGCCACTCCGTTTCCTACCAGGACAGCATACCTATCGTCAAATCATAATTAATATCAACTGTTTTCTGCCTTGAATGAACAACAACAGGGAAACGTGTCAGAGGATACTCCCTTGGAATGTTCTTTCTCTGTAACTCTAGCTTTCAAGTTCTCATTTCCATTATGGCTAAAACTGCCCTCTTACCAGTTCAAAATACGTCAGGCATTTCTGGCTTAAAATGCATCTGTTAGGATTCTCTCTGGCTCCTCCTGTTCTCTCCCCAGCCAGGGTCATGTCTGGGGAGAGAAGGACAGGCCTTGCTGATGACCTTGTTCTCATGAGGGGTAGGGAATGTCTCAACAGTGCCGCCCTTTGTCTGCTCTGGCTTTGACTGAAAGATACTGTCTTGAATATATTGGGCATTGACCTCCCTGTCCTTAGCACTCATCCCAACCTCACTGGCCAATGTTATTTCCCACTGTACTGTTAGCACTGGCCTCGTATGATGATTGCTCATGTGCAAGTTCCACGGTTCTGTCCTGTCCAACTTGGGTCCCACCTCAGTTTGGATGGTGCTACTCATCCTCAAAGAATCAACTCTTTTTTCTGTGCAGTACCTGGGGTGGGCTGTCCATCCCACATCCTATGCAGAGTCCCAATGGCTCTCAATTCCCATCTCCTTCCCATTGCTCTTCGGGGGCCTTGGAAAAATTTTGGATATTCTCTCTCTAACCTACAGGAGTCAAGGCTCAGGAGGTGCAACTGGGAAAGCCCCGTCTGTAGCAACTTGCTTTGTTGCCATTATTCCTCTGCTGCAGCCCCCAGATGTTGCTACGAAGAAGATCCATAATATTTTTAAGACGACCTTCCCCCCACCAAAAAAAGATATATGTTTCTATATACCCTGCAGACAGAGACAAAGCTTTTATGCCTTTAGGTCAACGAATCTTCCTAAGGGCAGGAGTAATAGTCAAAATACTTAACTATACTCAGAGCACAGGCAGCAATCCATCAGTATGGCTCCAGCCTAGTTACCTAAACAGAACTCATTGAGTTAGACTCTACCTATGATCTCTATGTTATCCCTCAATGATCATATTAAATGTAAATGATCAACAACACAATTTATTTATTTATTTATTTATTTTTAATGTTTTATTTTATTTCTAGGAGAGAGAGAGACAGACAGCGT